ATGTCAAATGCACAAAAAAAAAAAAACGAGGGGGATGGGGAAGGGGAGGATATCGAATGTTGGTCTATTTTTAAAGAAACCGGTGTTCAGTCATGGTTAGTTGTATGTAGATGTTTCACGCGTTATGAATCATAAGGGTTTGAAGATTTTAATTTGTGACCATGACGATGAACAAAAATCCAAACAAAGAATGTTGTATACAAATAAATGTTTCTTAATATATAAATATAAGATTTTGTTTTATTCCAATGAATGTATTTATGTTTGGAACAATGATCCCATCATCCAATTTTAAATGTTTCCCTTAATATTATCACCGAATTTAAAATGTTTCCCCTAATATTATTAGCCCGTGCATCGCACGGGTACCGAACTAGTTTTTTTGTAAAAAGTATTTAAATTTTAAAAACATTTTTTTCATTGATTTTAAATTTTAAGAATAACTTTTTTTAACAAGCACCCGTGTAACATACGTGTGTGTTGTACTAGTTAGATTTTACTCAACTGTTTTGTACCTAATAAAATTTATTTAGTACATTATACTATGATATTGCTTATGGAAAAGAGTCCCATGAATAAATGCTATCATTTTTATAATATTTTTATACCGTGTGTTCTTTATTGATAATCACATAAGTTAATTTAATTAATTTTAAAATTAATATATTAAACTAAAAGGATTGAATGATAAATGCACAATGCTTTATTTTATCCTTATGAGAAATATTATTTTAGATGAATTACTATTATAAAATACATTGCGCCACATGAAATAATTCCAAGTTATTCTCTTTAACTATATTTTCCTTAGCAACATCGACATCTGAAAATTCACGATAACTAAAGTGCCTTTAGCTTACATATGTCAATGGCTTAAGTCTTCCAATGAAAACTGAAGTGCCTTCAGCCTTTCGGCTTTGAACAATTGCTTGGAATGTCTCCCTTCTTTTAAGGAGGGCCTTAAAAGAGAAACTAAAAGTGGAGGTCAAACAAAGTTTCTAGATCAGTGATGGGTTTCAGGCAGCCTCACATGGCAAGATAACTTGAGTGAAACTTTAATATGAGTTAGAGATCTTCTCCTAAATGATGGTAAGAGGTGGAACAGGACGTGGTCAGAAATGCTTTCAATGTCACTAAGCAGTGGCGTAGTCAGAAAAAATTTTCAACTGAGTCGGGGCTGCAAAATAATACGTTGTTATTCAAACGAGTTGTTCTCTAACATATGTAGTTCGTTCCGACTTGTAAAAGTTTGAGCTTGACTTGTTTGTATATTTAAACGAGTCAAATTGGAACAACTAATCGAGTTTGTCTATCAAACAAGTCGAGTTGAGCGTGTTCGTAAGTAATTCTGTTAGATATTTTGGGTTTTAGTATAGGTTTTAAAATTTATTACATGACTTGAACTGTGTTTGAACGAGTCGAACGCAAGCTCAAATTTTTATTTGTTTATTAAACAAGTAGATCCACGACAGCTCGTTTATAAATGAGCACGAGTATGAACTTGAAATACTCCATTCGAAAAATCTAACTAGACACATGTATAAAGAAGTCAAAGTATGAAAATAACTTTTAAATATAATATAAGTTACATGAATCATAAAGTAAATAATATTAAAAAGTGTGTTGCATTTATAAAATAAAAATTATTATATTTTCTAACTAGTCGTGTTTATAGGGAAATGACTCTTCTTTAAAATAACCATGTGAATTTTTAACTACTCTCTTATACATATGACAAATATTTGTTTTTAATTGTTTTATTATTTTTTCTTTAAAATGTACAAATATAAATTTCCTCATGTACTTGAATTTAATTAAAAAATAACATAATATGTTAGAGAGCTACTATAAAACAGTGTAATAGCCTCGTCATTCTTGCTATATGTCATGTCATGTAATGTACATATGTCATATCACCGAATTTGTCAGACAAATAAATGAAATTTAGTAGTAAATTTCATATAATCCACTATCATTTACATAAATATTCAGTGAATATATAAACTTAATTGCGAAATCTACAAATTCTATTACATTAAGTATTCTAAATAAAAGTCTACCACAATCAAATATTGTCTCGAATAAAATTATTCAAATAAGATCTATTTAATCAAATAATAAAGAATAAATACAAAAATGACATATAAGGAGTGTAATATTCTAAAAAGAAATGGAAAGAAACTTAAATAATGTTCAAATATATAATTCATTGATTTAATATAAAATAAATTTAACTTGTTTTAGGCCAAAATAAGATTAATAATAGCCTAATCTACTGTAACATGGGCTAAATATTTTCTTAACAGTATAAACTTATCAAAGCCAGAAAATTAAGACAGTGTTGGAGCTCATCCCAACCTTTGGGGTGGCTCCGCCCCAACTACTAAGTGTGAAGCTATCTTGAATATCATTTCTCTAAATCCTAACATCAAACATAAATGGATCTGGCAGCTGAACCAGAAAGGTAACTTCTCTGTAGCAGATTCTTATTCTCATTTGACAGATATCAAAGAATTGAAGTTAGATGTGGCTGAAGGAAGCAACTCAAGCAGAATAAACAAAGGAAAAGATCTAGGAGTTGGAGGCCTAGAGTCAAGGGGAAATAAAGTATTTTATCTGGAAATGATTTACTAGGATTCAACCTGTCAGCTTGAATGTCAGAAGAAAGGGCATTGAAATTGATGTGATTTTGCAAGAACTGTGGTGAAGAGGAGGAATCCATTGAACATATTTTCCTCAAATGCAACAATTCTAGAAGAGTTTGGAAGTTGGCACCTTTGTCTTGGGATGGAATCCAGGTGGAGAACTGTAGCTTTAGAGACTGGTGGTGGCAAGTATGCTTGGTGGATAAAACTCAAATCTCAGAATCCAGAATACAAATAACAATATGCATCCTATGGTGACTTTAGAGATCAAGGAATCTGTGGCTTTTCTATAAAGAACACAAGCCTGAAGTTGTGATTGTGAAAGGGGCATGGTCTGAGTGGCAGGAGTTCATTTCTGTTTGCTAATTTTGTTGTTAGTTTTTGTCTTCTTCTTTCATTTTTTAGTTTGTGTAGTTGGTAGTGTTGACTGGGGTTTCTTGGTGTGTCTTTGTGTGTAAGTTTGGTTGGTTGCAGTCTAGAGGGCCCAGGCCATATGTTCCTGCCTCGGGTGTTTGCTGGTTTGGTTGTGTTTCTAGACCACTTTCGTGTGGTCTCCCAGTGTGTCTTGTTTGGCCTTTTTTTCGGCTTGTGCTCGACGTGTATTCCGAACGTTGTTCTGTTGGCTTTTATTGGAGCTTTCTATCGTTGAAAAAAAAAAAACTGAAGTGCCTTTAGTTAGATAATTTTCCTGTCATATTTATGCAATTTAATCTATATATAATTGTTAGCAAAAAGTTTATGACAATTATTTTCGTTTTTGCACTTTTTTCTATTATATTTTGCATTAATCAAGCAACTATATTTTTTTTATTATTACATAACAGTTACTGCTAACCAATCATGATATTCTATTCTAATCTTTTCCAAACTATTTATTCAAAATTATTTTTTTTACCTCACTAAGTATTTTTTTTATTAAATTTAGTTAATTAATTTTTATAGCATAACCAAACCCTTTAAATTTCGTACACAACTGCTATAATAATTATTTCAATATTATTTTATCTAATTGGTCATAATCACTTATGATTGTTAAAATTATATTATTGAAATTAATATAAATATTCATATGTGTTATACCTAAAATATGTCGATCTGGATTAGCACACTAAACGAGGATGACATGGACGATGGATTTACATCAGTTGTACGCCAAAGTCCTAGTGTGCGACGCCAACCAAACTCCTAGAATATGTAAAAGCATATTTGCATGGATGTTTGAAGAGCATTTGCCACCCTCTATGCCGGTCTCATTATGGGCTGCAAATTCATCATGTCAATGTCAATAGGACGTAAGAGAGACAATCATCTCACATTGCTAGTGGCCACGGACGTACAAGACTTCCTTCATGCCAATCTCAGCTGATTTAGTGTGAAAATAACTGTTGTCCAGAATTAGTTCTCACCGCCCAAAAGCCAGTTCGCACCGCCCCGTGTGAACAACCCGAAACTAGTTATTTGGATTAATGTCCTGACACATGTCACATGGCATGCAATAGATCCACTCAAAATCTGCGGGAAATTTCTACATTTTTGTGTATAACTAGCCTTGCTGCCTCTAGGTTGAAAGGGACATCGAAAATCATCAGGAATCAATCGATTTCCATAGAAAATACACTATTGATCAGTTTCCTTCCGTAGACATATATAATAAGAGATCAAGAGATGATCCAAGTTCCTTAATAAATCTCGATAAATTCTCAATAAATATCATTGCAAGCGCGTTAAGCAATCACTTAATTCGCTGACTGTCTTATCGCCATTATTTCTTTTTTTTTTTTTTCAAATCCAAATCACAATCTTAATATTGTATATTACTCTAATCTTGTTGACAAAATCGACCGTCAACAATATGAAAGTTAAATTGTTTATATTTATATCGTTTATTTTTACTAATGATAAAATTTATGAACTTTGATATTCTCATTATCTAATTTATGATTTTAAATATTACACATACATATAACCTATAAAATTTTTATTTGCATCTTCACATAAGGATCGAACAGTACTTTAGTGCTAAAAATATTCGGGTCAATGTTGCTGACATTTTAATTACAGATCGCCCCTTGCATTTTCCATTTGTTTCAATTATTACGCTCCTCGCAACATATTTTCGACCCAAAGTCCGCAGTCCGAAAAGGTTCTTCTTTAACGGTCATGTAATTTGAACGGACAATGAATCCAAATTCAAACGCCTAAAACGCCCAGAAAGTAAACGCACAAACGCTCTCTATCCCTTCCTTTCGTAGCAGAGAAAACTAGCCAATTTTTCTTCTCCATTTATATCCTTCTCCAAATTTTCGAACCTCGATAGCAAAAAGTTTTATGGAAAACTGCGAGTTGAACTCATTTGATGACCAGACGCCGGGAATTCCTAAGCCATGTGCTTCTGCCGGTGGCTTTGAATGGGAAAAAGCGCAAAAACTAAATCAAGAAGCCGACATATCTGCTATGGAAGAAGATGAAAATGAGGACTCATTTGCTGATCTGATGGTATGCGATTATGGTTCAAGATTGGTCCCAACTGGGTTCTCCATTGCTTGTAGTAAAGGTAGGTTTGTTTTGCACGTCTATCACAAAGGAAATTGGAAATTACTCAAGATTAGGGTTTTCTTGTGGGTAGATTAGATCCAGAAATCTAACATATTAACATTTTGCAGCATTTAGTAATTTTATTTCCATTATTTGCATCAGCTCTTACGCCCGCTAATGAAATCTGGTAGAAATGTTGATGTAAATGACCGTGAGTAACTTGGGGAATGTATTTTGGGATTTATGGTTTCTTTTGTCTGTCGAGAATATTGTTGTGTGTTGGTTATGTATTATTCTTTATGCTATATTACAAAATTGAAAGTCAGTGGTAGGGATAGAGGTTGCTGGTGTTTGTAACTGCCTCGGCTATCCTTATAGATGGTGAAAATTAAAGCCAAATAAAAAAATATATATTCATTTTCTAAACTTTGGGGTTGTTTATGTGACTGTTTTGAGTTGGTCGAAAGTCTCATTTCTTGTCATTGATACCCCACTGCAAATTTTAACTTAAAATGTTATTTCTTTGGTGAATTAGAGGAAATTGTGCTTTTCATCAATGCTGGTGCAATAACGCCTGCGGAATCAGATTCCGGTATTAAGCTTCTGGCGGACAAGTTTTTTGAAGGTGGAGATTCTTTTCAGACTGAGGAGTTCATCGAAGATGGTGGACACTGTTCGTTCATGTATCAGTCAGCCCGATTGGGAAACTTCTGCTACCGAATTGAGAATCTTCAGCCCGGGAATTATTTTCTTGACCTTCATTTTGTAGAAATTATAAACATCAATGGGCCTAAAGGGATGCGAGTATTTAATGTGTTTATGCAAGATGAAAAGGCAAGTTCTTACTATTTTTTTATTTTCTTAAATTAAGAAAGACTAAAGTATCAATGCTTTATGATGTAATTTGACGATTAATGCTGTTGTTGTGCAGATTCTGTCTGATTTTGATATCTTCTCCATCGTTGGGTCCAACAAACCTCTACAACTGGTTGATGCTAGAGTTTCTGTTAAGGAGGATGGAATTGTTGTCTTGAAATTTGAGGGCATAGTTGGCAGTCCAGTAGTTAGTGGAATTTGTATTAGGAGAGCCCCTACAGCTTCAGGTAATTGCTTTTCTCTGCAACATTCTTTTATATGGCATTTAGGGGAACAAAGTACTTGTGTAATTTCTGAACTTCTTCGGTCTTTGCAGTCTCTCAGATGAACCGTGAATATTCTGTGTGTAAAAACTGTTCTGCTGAGATAGAATATCCTTCGGCTCAGGTATGATTGGCATAAACACGTTCCTGAACTTTTTGAGGGCAATGGCCCATGTTTAGTGTCAATATCTTCTACTTTATTTGAATTCTTATGTTTACGAATAAATGGAGCTTTCAGAAGAAGGTATTGCAAACGAAATCAATAACCAAGTACGAGAAAACTATACAAGATCTGAAAGATACGTTGCAGAGGAAGACTGATGAGTGTTATCAATCTTGGATGTCTTGGTCTGCTGCTAACGAACAATTAGAGAAAGTTAGGATGGAACTCGACAATAAGACATTCAAAACATATTCACTTGGTAAGGCTTAGAACTGGCGCATTGAGTTTTTTCATTTAATTTGTTAGCTGGAAAAGATTCAATATAAAAAGATAAAAATATAGTGGGGCATGCAATTAGGCAAGGTCCTACGTGCATTTTATTGGATCTTTTGTTCATTTATGTTCGTAAATCTTTAACCATTACTTTGTTGCATATATTGATAATGATTGAAGGTTATTTTCTTTCTGGTGGTGGTGCTGCAAAAACTCAGGAACACTAGACCACGTCCATTGAACTTTTCCCTTGTGTTGAAGTAACTTCTATTTTCAAATATATGCATGTTAATATGCTTACTACAGTGCGTTTAGCTTACTAGCTGATGAATTTCCGCACAGGATTTATACCTTTGCTTAGCATAAGAAGACAGATCATTGGTGATTACCTACCTAGAATAAGAACTCAAAGGACAGGGATTTTTGTTTAATATAATTAAAAATTTTATTGCTTGATAAAGTCTGGAGGAGCTGCCAGAATGCAAGAGAAATTAGTTCCTAGATAAATATTGGGTATCGATCTCATACTTAGAATGCAAAAACCGACATGTTATGCTGACATTTGGAGTAAGACTACATATGGAAATTTGAAGACAAAAAGCATGTCTCTGTTTCTAGAGTAGATTCCTTTGTTTGCTTAAAAAAAAAAAAAAAGATGTAGCTATATTTATCATAATTCAACTGTTATTATCAGTTAACTTGTAGAGTGTTGTATGTTTTCCAAGTAAAACTGGAAGTGTATTATGGTGTTTTTCCTAATGGAAAAAAGCTTCTAGAACTTAACGTTGTTGGATTTTCTGCAGATCAAACACTAGAGAAACAAACAGACAAGCTGAAAGACATCTCGAGCAAGTATGAGCACGATCAAAAGTCCTGGAAAGTGGCAATCAACAGTTTAGAGCAGAAAGTAAAGGTGATTAGTCATTTAACTGGCCAATTCAAGGGGCAAAAGACGTTCACCTTTCATAGAGAGTGCATTTTGCTTTTAAGGTATGACGCAAGTCTAAATTTTCCTTCTACAGGTGATGAAACGAGAACATTCTGAGCTTTCTCGTGAAGCACACGAATGTGTTGGCTCTATTCCGGACCTGAATAAAATGGTTTCTGCAGTCCAGTCACTTGGTAAGCTTTTGGCCGGATAAAAAGCTAGCTTTGAATTTTTATTTTTTTTATTAATTGTCGGTTTTTTTTATGTATTTTAACGATTGCACCACAGTCGGACAGTGTGAAGATCTTAAACTGAGATACAATGAGGAGCAAGTAAAGAGGCGGAAGCTCTTCAACCAAGTGCAGGAGGCAAAAGGTTATATTTTGTGACTGTTCAAAATGTGTCGTGCCTATGTTATTCTTTCGGTTTTAGTTCTCATTGCATGAATTTTTGAACTATCAGGAAATATTAGGGTATTTTGTCGTTGTCGACCACTAAGCAAGCCGGAAGTCACAGCCAGGTGTGCATCAGTCATAGACTTTGATGCTGCCAAGGATGGAGAACTTGGAATTTATAGCAATGGCTCCACCAAAAAGACTTTCAAGTTTGAT